TATAAAAATTTAAAGCAGGAAACTTCAAAGAAATGTGGGGATTGGAGCAGGTGCTTCAGGAATCACAGCCCTGAAGAGGCACGTCTGTTCTAAGGGCTCGACAGGTAGAAAAATCGGGGCCAGGAGAGGGGCCAGTGGAGCCTGGAAGAAGTATTTGTGCAGCTGTCTGGTCAGCAAATTTTCTTCACTGTCCATCATAGACTCGGCACAGTCCCTCCGTCTGCCCTTTTAGGAATTCTCCAGAAAAAACCAGAGCGGAAGCTCTGCTCTTGAGAAACCTCAATTAAAGAAGCTTCGTTAAGTATTCATGAGCCTCACACAGCGCTGGGTGCTGCGCCAGACGTAAGTGCCTCATTTAATCCTCACATAAACCAGGTATTAGTTTGGTTTTACGGGAGGAAACGAGACTCAAAGAGGTATGTAGTCAAAAGATACAGAACTGGTAGGGAACAGAGCCGGGATGCAGCCCTGGGTCACCGTGGCTCCCAATCCTTCCACCATGTCCCCAGCCCCAGGCGTCCAGAACTGATCCCGTCTCTCCTCCTCCACCTGCCGAGGGTCTGGCTTCCTGCTTTTCTAAGAGCCCCAGTTTCACAGAGCAAATGAGCTCCCTCTGCTAACCTGGAGCGCTGCCTGTGGAATGACACCGTGGCATCCTGGCTCCCCCCAGGACGAGGCGGTCCCCCAAAGGAAGGAAGGAAAAGAGGGGCCTGGGAAAGCCAGGTGTAACTGTGGAAGAGCCTGACCTCAGGAAACGGGTCTAAGGCATAATCACTCAAGCCCTGGGGACAAATTCCAGCCAGCAGAGTGTCCCTCTCTGGCTTCTACAACTCTCCATCCCTGAAGAAGGCAGCACGGAAACAAACAAGGAGGTGCAACAGGAAGCCAAAGCCCCTCCTTTGAGAAGAGGTGGTCAGTTCTTGGTAGCAAGGACTGAAACAGTCGGGGGACTCTGGTACCACAGCACAAGTGCGGACGGCTGCCCTAGTGACAGGAGCTCTCTGTGGGGATGTCTGGGCCCACACACAGACACGCCCCCACTCCCGCCCTACACTCCTTCTTCCTAGAAACAGCCTTGACCTCTCAGACCACGGAAGTGGACACACGGCCCACACTGTTCTCTGCCTGGGGTGCAAGCCAGCCTGCAAGAAGCAGCAGAAACGACGGCAAGGGCCAGGCAGGAAAGATACCAAGAAAAAAGAGAAGGGGAGACTTGAAGAGATAAGGAACAATGTTGAAACAGGAAGAAGAAAGCAAAGGGAGAGTCAGAGAGAGACGGAGGGAGTGGGAGAGGGAGGGACACCTGACTGTATTTGGAGCCCTTGATCTAGGTGTTCCTAAGGCCAGTCACATGTTCCAAAGCACGGTTATGTTAATTAATGAGTTCTGCCTTTTGGCTTATGGCATTCCAAATTAGATTCTATCATTTATAGTCCAAAGAGTTACTATTCCAACTGTACATAAAGCCACTTAAAAAATCTGTAAAAGTGCCTCCAAAAGCACATTAATGCCCAAAAAACTAAGGGAACCAAAGTTATTTTTCAAATTCAAGGAATGGGTCTGTCTCAAAGAAGCCATTCAAATGAAAGTATTTATTTATTTTTATAAATGTTTTCTCTACCAGTTTATCTCTAATTGCACTTAAGAAACAGAAAAAAGCCCTATATTTAATCTTGTGCCAAGTCAGCAGAATAGCCAGTGGCTGCCTTCCATTTCTTGCTTCTTGTCAGTACAGGTCGAGTATCCCTTATCCAAAACGTCTGAGACCACAAGTGTTTCAGACTTCAGAATTTTTTGGATTTGGGAATATTTACATTATACTTACTGGTTGAGCATCCCAAATCTGAAAATCTGAAATCCGAAATGCTCCAATGAGTATTTGCTTTCAGTGTCATGTCAGCACTCAAAATGTTTTACATTTCCGGATTTCGGATGCTCAGCCTGTTCCATTACATTATATTCTCTTGGTATAAAAATATTTTTTAAAAAATCCCAAACTAGTACATAAACAAGCTGACACATGTATCAACATATACTTATAAATAAAAACATGGCCAATACATAGACACCAAATGCAATAGGGATGATATTTTTGCGTGGCTTAATCATGAATGGCAGCAAGCACTGCAAGGAAAAAGTTCTTAGAACATGATAAATCTTCGTTTTTAGCACAGGATAAACCTTTCATTTCATGGTACATGGTTCACAATATTAAATAGACAACCACCACCTGGTTTACTTGATTAAAATCCGGAGAACAAGGACAATGTTTATAGGGAGCAACAACTTACAAGAGCACCCCTGGGGCTATGTGGTGGACAGTTGGCAGATGCCCAATTCCAAAGTCCAATCCACAGGGCATGGGGACAGGCTATCAAATCTTTACCTCCCTGTGCAAGAATTTACATGGGACTTAAAAATGTGCATTCCCTTGTCGGTGCTTAATCCCCTAATGATGATCAATCTGCGGGAGATGTGTTCCCTCCTAATCACACGTAGGATAGCGTCCGCACTCAATGAAATGGTCGTCCTCTTCTATGTCTCGACTTCAAGTGACCAGCTGAACGGCGGAGTTTTTTCCTTTCTTGTCGATGCAGTTTCTCGGCCTCCTGTTGCTTCTTCTGCTGTTCAGACTAAAATAGAAAATTAAATGAGTACAAGGAAAGAGATAGAAAATTTCAGTATCTCTTTTTTTGGTAATGCCAACAGTACTACCACCAATCTCAGGCTTGCTGCTTGGAGAAATGCTACCCACAGGCCCCAGGGCACACGGTCAGGCCGCCTGGACTCCGCTATGACAAATGCTGCCCTGGCAGAAACTGGAGGACAAAGACCAACTTTCATCATCCCTTTAAAAGTAGAAATTCTAAACCCCTGGGCAGGCAGAGGGAGAAGTGCCCTGACAGACCAGTCTGACTACAAAGTAGGACACTGGTTTTTCAACCAACTCACCAACTCCTGGGCGCCAGCGATACTCCTATCTCAGCCTCGTGAGTGGCTGGGGCTGCAGGCACGCGCCACCACACCTGGCTTAGTTTTTAAAACACATTTGATGGTTTTGAAAATACAAACTCCTGAATGTGCAGCTCAAAAGAAACTCTTAGCTGGAGGAACTGCACAGATGGTCAGCTGAGAAAGCGCTGTCAGGGGCCTGCGTGTAAAAGCTGAAATGCGCTCCTTATGGCCGTCTGAGGAGCTGGCTTCACTGCCGGCTGTATTTTTCCACACACTTGAAGATGTTCATTTGTATTTTACTCTTGAAGAAAAAGTCTCCACCTCACCCTCCCTGGGTATTACCCAATCTTTTCAAAAATAAAAACTTGAGGGTGAAGAATAGTGGGAAAGGAAAGTAATTTGTAATGCCAAAAAAGGATGAATTCCTTCTCTAGGAAGCTCTTAAACAGAGTTTCTGAATAATTATTTAAGTTCCCTTTTTATTATCATCTCTTCAAGTGCCTTTTCAAAGTAATCCTGGATATCCCTCCATGACACACTGCCAACTCCTCCACCGCTTCCTGTCCGCGGCTCCCGGCCTGTCCTCGCCCCGGCCCACTGTCCTTCCTGATCCAGTCGCTAGGCAGCTGCCTCGCGGTCTCTGCCTCCTTCTGCTACCCCTCGGGCCACTCCCCATGCAATAGCCATAAGGAGTTTTAAAAATAAAAACGCTACGTCAGTTCAGTCCTCTGCTTACTAAAACTTTGCCAAGTTGGGTTCCTTGCCAAACACTCTCCCGGCCCTCTGTCCTCCTTTGGAGCACTTACCACAGTTCCGATAATATAATTAGATGTCTATAACTTGTACCCACTGTCTCTCTTTCTCTCTCAATAGACTGAGAACTGTGGTGGCAAGAACCACGTCTGTCCCCAGCATGCAGCACAGAGCAGGCATTCAACACGCATGTATTAATGAAAAACTCAGAAAACGCTAAGGAGAACTACACACCCCTCGGCCGAGCAAATGACATCATCAAGATCTGTGTAGAGTGAACCAACACTGGTTGTTTAATATTTGGTTTCTTCATGTTACCAAGTATCCCTAAAGAAGTATTTCTTCATGTAATTTTGGAAAATGATATACTAAATTAACATAAAAAGGGTGCCCTGGAGCTTTTAAGTTAAGGTACTTCAATGAGCCTTCAACATGGACATCAGTCCAAGGTATTTCCCCTGCCTGATGGCAAAAGCAATCTTCCCTGGTCTGTATTTACATCTCCTCACACACACTTTGGGAAGCTCTGTCAGGCCGTCCCCCAAGGCAGGAGCTCAGAGAAGAGCAAGTGAGCAGCAGCTACCGCTCTGCAGACCTGCAGGCAGAGAAAGCACCATCATTAGCCTCTCTCCGAAGGTTGCATTCGGAAGACCTGCCACCATGTGACTGGTTCATTACAATTTATGGGCCATTAGCTCTTCTCCAAGTCCTTCCTGCCTCCTTGCTGTCCCTATTCCTGGCCACCTTTACTACAGTCTACAGCAATCCCGTCACAGAGACGGAGGAGGGCGGATGCAAACTAGTACACCTGCATCAGCAACAGCCTTGATGAGGAGCTGTGTTCAGTGGTATTTTAAAATCAGATTTGGGACCTAATCCAGTCTTACCAGTATATGATTTTAAATAATACTAAAGCATAGACATTTTTTTCCCCTGTAAATTTTATTGAAATTTTATTAATACAAGGTACATAGGAAAATACTGGAAAAACTCAAGATTTTATCTGAATATAACACACAGTATAAAAAGATTTCTATAAACACGTAAGTCCCTAAATAAGTAAAACTTATTTAAAACTTATTTAAGTAAAACTGAGATTTATTAAGTAAAAGTCTGTTAGTCAAGTGATAAAATACATAAATCAAACATTAATTGATACATTCCCCAAAACAGTTTCGAAGCCTCTGCTTGATTCAGCTATAAGGCCATTTTAAGTAATCCTTAGTGCTTTTTCTTTAAACAAAAATACAATTTCAGAGCCTTCTTATTTTCGTCTTAACACAAAGTATAAACTGATATTCAATCAGTACCTTGGAATTTAAAAACAGTGCAAAGAGGCGTGTACTTTCCCACGACTGCAGAGCAGACGCCCACCCCTAGCAGAGGGGCTCTCAGGCTGAGGCGGTCACCAGGCTGCCGACCTGGCGACCCCTCAGTGCTGTGCTGCTCCTGCCTCACACTTGAGACAGTACTTGGATTTCAGAGGGAATCCAGGAATGTTTTAAGGTACACAGAGAATTTATAAGAAACTAGAAATAGGCACAATAAGTTACTCTGAATGCATATCCAGTTTTAGCTTATTTAAATGATAAATTTAAGAGTGCACATTTGCTCTAAACAGAGACAAATTTAACCAAAAAGCTTTTTGCATTAGGAATAAAAAAATTTTTATCATTTGACAAGCCTCCTGGATGCAGGTAGGGAAAATTTTTGAAGAATGAGAGATGAATGGTCAAAGGATGTGAATAAATATTTCTCCAAAGAAGATATCCAAATGTCTTGTGATAAGCACATGACAAGATGCTCAACAGCAGGGAAGTGCAAATCAAAACCATAATGAAATACCACTTCACAGCCACCAGAATGGCTATAATAAAAAAGACAAACAATAACAAGTGTTGGTGACGAAGTGGAAAGAGTGAAACCTTCATACACTGCTGGTGGGAATGTAAAATGGTGCCTCTGCTTTGGAAAATAGTCTGACAGTTCCTTAAAAAGTTAAACAGTTACCATAGGACCCAGCAATTCTACCTCCAGGTACATACCCAAGAGAAATGAAAGCATACGTGCATGCAAAAACTCACACACAAATTTTCATGCAGCATTATTCTTAACAGTGCCCCCACAAAAGGAAACAATGCAAGGGTCCATCAATAAATGAACAGATAAACAAAATATGTTCTATATCCATACAATGGAGTATTACTGAGCCATAAAAAGGCATGTGGTTCTGACCATGAATAAACCTTGAAAACATGCTAAGTGAAAGAAGCTAGTTGCAAAAGAAAACACATTGTATGACCCCATTTATATAAAATGACCAGAATAGGCAAAACTCTGGAGACAGAAAGCAGGTTAGTGGCTGTCAGGAGCTAGGAGGATGGGAGGAGGAGATGACTGCTAAAGGATACAGGGTACTTTTTTTCAGGTGATGAAAATATTTTGGAATTAGTCTGATGGTTATACCTCTTAGTGAATATACCAAAATCTGAATTGTGTACTTTAAAAGAGTGAACTTTATGGTATGTGAATTATATCTCAATTTAAAAAAGGAATCAGAGATGAAATCTTTGTCATTCTTTTCTACTTGGTGACTATACTGAGGAGGATCAATTGTGAACAAGAGGAAATTTTTTTGCAAAATAAAACCATATTGTTTGACTCATCAGTTAATAACAAATATTTAAGTAGTTTATTCCTCCTACAATGTGCAACAGGCATCGTTACAGGTAGTTAAAGCAATGGATGTTATAAATCTGCGGTCCCCAGCCCCTGGTCTACAGACCAGTATTGATCCGCAACCTGTTAGGGCCTGGGCCGCAGAGCTCCACACCAGCCACCACCCACCCCTTGCCCCGTTCCGTGGAAAAATTGTCTTCCATGAAACTTAGGAACGGGGGCCACATAGCAGGACATGAGCAGCAGGCGAGCGAGTGAAGCTTCATCTGTATTTATAGCTGCTCCCCATTGCTCACATCACCGCCTGATCCCTGCCCCACGCCCACCCTGGAAAAATCATCTTCCATGAAACTGGTTCCTGGTACCAAAAAGGCTGGGGACCACTGTTATAAATCAATATAGAATAGGATGACCATTGGCAGAGTAATTCACCTTCCTGAAAGAATAGGGTCTGGGCAAGCTGGATATGACTGTCATGAGGTATTAGAACTTGCCGATTTCTGGCTTCCAAGTCCATATAAGCGTGAGATATTCTTTTCTATCCTTAGATGGTCAGGACTTTTGCTTTACAAGGCTGTACCTCAGGCCACACAGTGACCCAGAAACCACAACTGCTGGTTTATCAACAGTAGAGCCAACTCTGGGGTCACTGAGGCCCTGACTGCCTGGGGATACAAATAACATTCCTGGCTCTGCTTCGGTCAAGCAGTGCACTCTCAACCCAGCAGGGGCTCAGGCTGCAAGGAAGATGCTGGAATAGGGAACACAGCATCCTAAAAAGGAGAAAAGCTTGGAAAGGCAGCTCTGAGGCTAGACACACATAAAACACTACTGAAAGCCTATTTTTCTTCTGTGAATTAAAAAATAACATTAAAAAACAACTTACCCTCTTTAACGTGAATGTCAATTGTTTGCTGCCAACAGTGGTGTCTGATACACTCAATGTACCATTTTTTGCTTCAATTTTCAAACGATCTTCAAGGGTTTTGCTGTAGGAAATTTAAAAGAATAACACATTAATTGTATTATGTTTTAATTTAACCATTTGAAACAAGTTTTGTTTTTTTTTTTTGAGACAGAGTCTCATTCTGTTGCCCTGGATAGAGTGTGGTGGCATCACTATAGCTCACTGCAGCCTCAAACTCCCCTGGGCTCAAGCAATCTTCCTGCCTCAGCCTCCCAAGTAACTGGGACTATAGGTATGCGCCATGACGCCTGGCTAATTTTTCTATTTTTAGTAGAGATGGGGTCTTGCTCTTGCTTGGGGTGGTCTTGAACTCCTGAGCTCAAGTGATCCTCCCACCTTGGCCTCCCACAGTGCTAGGATTACAGGCGTGAATCACTGCGCCTGGCCTGAAACAAGTTTTAAATATTAATAGCAATGATCACATGAAGAAAAACTGTTTACACTTGTGGTAAACAGAAAATATTCCTCTAACAGAAAGAATGAGGTGCATTCAAGTAGTCATTACTCATACTCGACAGACATACTGCAAAAACAATGGCTGGCAAAAACACCCACTAATTTAATATTTTAAGTGGCAGTACCAAAGATTTCGATGGTTGCTATTTTTCTAAATCATATTTCTGAACCCAAATGCTAGAAGCAATATATTTCTGAAGCCTGTCATTCATTGTAATGGTCAGTGGCATTCATGGTTCTAAAGCATTTTATATTTAAACTATGCACAAGTTAGGTATGTGAGTATTTTAGCGATTCATCCACCTTCTACAAAGGAATGAACACAAATTAAGTCTTCTGGTCAAGCCACAGAGAAGAGCTATGATAATTCTGAGTTTTCCTTCACTCAGCCTTAACTCTGTTGATTACAAGTCACCATCCCACAGTAAGAACAACTTGAAAATAATCCATCTGATTACGCTGAGGCAACAAAAGCAACTACATACTTCGGGTAAATTCTGTCTGATTCAGCCTTAGTCACTGCTATCTTTCCAGGTGTCTTTCCCTTCAATTTCTTACTTGAATTACTCTTTCTGACACACTTTATCGCAAATTTAAATCCATTTCATTTCTTTCTTTTTTTCTTTTTTGAGACAGGGTCTCACTCTGTCCCCTGGGCTAGAGTGCAGTGGTGTCATCATAGCTCACTGCAACCTCAAACTTTTGGGCTCAAGTGATCCTCCGGCCTCAGCCTCCCGAGTAGCTGGGGCTACAGGCGCTCACCACCACACCCAGCTGATTTTTCTATTTTTTGTAGAGGAGAGGTCTTGCTCTTGCTCAGGCTGGTCTTGAACTGCTGGGTTCAAGCAATCCTCCCACCTTGGCCTCCCGGAGTGCGAGGATTACAGGTATGAGCCACCACACCCGGCCCATTTCATTTTTTGATCATACTTTTCTAGGGTCTTTTTATATAAATCTGTGTCTACCTAGTAGTTTGCTGTCCCCTGTAATTCATTATCATCTGTATAATTAACACAATCTTGCCCCTGCTTTCCAATAATTGGAATTTTGTATCAGTTAGATAGTAATTCATTGTATGTTGTTATAATGTTTTAATATAGATCAGAACATTGGCCCTTTTGTTAACTTGGTTTAGGGGTAAATAAACTGAATTAAGCCTGAAGGTATATACTTTCAGTAAGTTTACAGTTACTCTAACTTTTCTAGAAATGGCTAAAGCAAGAGATTTAGAGCTCTGTGGTGAGACTGAGAGGGGAGAGGAGAAGGAAGAACAAAAGAAAGAATATGATTCTCTCTTATATTCTGTTCCCTTCTCAAAAAAAAAGTACATTTCCATCTCCTGCTCTCCTTGTATTATACCAAGCCAAATTCAGTGTACTCTTTTAAAGTTAGCACTAAAAAATCTGACTGAAGAAAAAGGCTGAATTGTGTGAAAGGATCTTCTTTTCCCTGAAATATGATCTTTGAAAGTAATTACTGAGCAGAACAGAGCTCCTAAATGATCCCTAAGACAAAGAGATGCTCCTTTGAACTTCTGAGGCTCATGTTTGATGTTCACACCATGAGAGATTTATCTCTAGTTTATAACTACTAGTAATGTACTAAACATACCTTCTTTATATAATTTGAGACATAAAGTGGTTAGCATAAAAGTGGCACTCTTTTCTAAGCAATAATGTTATTAAGAAGCACTTTTAAAGTACTTTCCATCTTCAAAGTTCTTTACACACCAACTAATTAATCCTTTTAACATCCCTGAGACAGAAGTATTTATCCTCCGTAGACAGCAAAAAAGGGAGGTAGGATGTTAAATGACTTGCCTCAGGCCACATAAGGATTCAAGTCTAAAACCAGGGTTCCAATTCCAGAATTTTTGGGTTCCAAGTGGGTGTCAGACCATACTTGACTTGGAAAGTTTTGTTCAGGAAACTTGTCCATTAAGCATTCTAAATGAAAAGCTTCCACATGACGAACCAAATGAAATTAAGATTTAGTTTAGCTTTTTTAAAAATAAGAATTCAAAAGTGAAATGCAGACTGATTCTAGCCTGTATGTAAATTATGTTACCCTAAGCAAATTCCTCAACCTGTTCATTTCATTCTTGTTCTTTCCTTTCATAGCTATAAACTCTGAGGTTTTACAGTTAACAGGAATTCTGAATAACTATAGAGCCACTGAGACAAGATGATACACAGAAAACACTAATTTGGGAAGAAAAAGACTTTTCAAGTAAATTGTGGGAAATTACTACTCTTTTAAGAATGATCTTATTTCCTCCATGATAGGGCCTATAAATTCTGGTTTTCTTTCAATGTACTTTCGATGTACACTTGTAAAAACTTGTTCTGTCTAGGCTACTTGGAAAGCCAAGCTGAGTTTTAGAACGAGCCATGGCAGGAGATCAGACACAGACAGGGACTGTGTGCAGAGATTTCTACATTAAAGACGTTCCACTTCCCTCCCTTTGAAAGTGAGTTTACTGAACGTGGCTGCTACCCAGCTCCGCAGCCCGATTCTCGAGTGTGACTGCGGTCAGAGATGACTTAAGAAGTAGACATCGCCTGAGATCACCTGAAAACTCCTGCTGAACAGAAAACAAAATGCAGAAAGCCATGCTGCACGTCGCTCTCAGTGTGTTTCCTCCAGGATGCCAGCCTGTGGCAGGGAGGACAGAGGAGGACGACAGAGCCTTTCTTCCCCTCTTCCTCCTGTCCCATCCTACTTTTCATCTCTTCTCCATCTAGGCTTTAGGTCTGTTGGCTGTGGGGAACTTTCTCAATGACAGTAAAGTTAGGAATTTTAGGGAAAAACCTAATTGGGACAAGACGAACCAAAAAAATCCTCAAATTTGTGGTGATTGCTAAGAAAATAGATAAAGCTTTTAAAAAGTTGAAAAGTGAGTGGAATTACTAAGTATAGGATGGAGAGGACTCTCAGAGGAAGAACCTAAATTAGTACAGCTATCTTAAAAAAGAAAAGTAGGCACACACTACAGGGGGAAAGATCAAATTAGATATTTATTAGATGCCCCAGGAAAGTTAATCAAGTTACTTCTTTGAGGTTTTAAAACATACACACTTCTTTAAACAGAAATATTAAATATTTAATTAAAAATAATGCTCCCCAAATCAGAGTTTTTTAATCACTTTGCATGGAACAGGAAGTAGGAGAGTAAAAGATAGTATACATAAAGTATGTGCTTTAGTATAGAATTTAGAGAGATTAACTCTAATTAAAATAAATGAGTCACCCTTCCCTAGTCTGCGCCAAAGGGAACAAATATAAAGAAAGTGGAAAAATAGAATCCACAGATAAATGATGAGTTTTAAGTATTTTTAAAATTTAATTTTAAGTACTTCGTTTTAAATAACTAACTTTGACAAATATTTACATATACCACGGAGGTTATTTAAAACTTTATTTTAATGCTCTCAGTTTGTATATGTTGCTTCAAAGGCCCTATTTCAGGAGAGAGAAAAATTCAAGCAACCGTGAAATCTGATACCTCACCTATCAGCAAAATGAGGATTTAAAAAGATTCCTAATATCTGCCGCTGATGCAAAGGCGGGGAAGCAGGCACTCTGGTCAGAGTGCAAAGTGCTCGAGCCCTGTTGGAGGGCAAGTTGACACATCCGTCGATCCAACCAATTCCTTTACTAGGAATATATTCTAAAGAATTACTTGTACATTTGTACACATTTGTAACTGTGAAAAAGGTAAGAGAAAAACAAGAAACAAACTTAACATCCACAATTAGGGGAATCGTTACATAAATTATTGCACATCCGCCTTATGAAATATTTATGTGGCCATAAGGTAGACCTACTGTACTTACAAAGAAAAATTTCCACAACTTACTAGTAAATGAAAAGACCAAGTTAGGCAATGTGATTAGTATGCCCCATTCATGTTAAAGAAAGGAAAGCTGTTTATGGCAGCACAATTCGCTATCGCAAGGATGTGGAAACAACCCAAGTGCCCATCAATCCGTGAGTGGATTATTAAAATTTGGTATATGTATACAATGGAATATTACTCAATTATAAGAAACGACAGTGATCGAGCACCTCTTATATTTTCCTGGACTAAACTTGAGCCCATCATCTGAAGTGAGGTATCACAAGATTGGAAGAACGGGCTCCACTTGTACTCACCATCAAACTGGTACTAACTGTTGAACACTAGGGTGCTCACGTGGCAGTAATACTCTCCAGGGATTAGGGGGATGGGTGGGGGGTAAACCCACAATTAAAGGACACGGGGAGCATTTTAGAGGGGAAGGGCACGCCTCTAACCCTCGCTAGGGTGAGGCAAAGACATAAAATGTAACCATAATGTTTGTACCCTCATAATACCCAGAAACAAAAAAAAAAGAAAGAAAGGAAAGCTACAACTTTAGGTATGTGAGTATGGACATATACATGAGTGAACGCATGTTTAAAAGGCTAGAAGTCTGGTGCACGCACAGCCATGAGCTCAGGAAGGGAATGTGGGGGGGCCTGTACATCTAAGTATTGCAATGATGACATGATTATATACCACTGAGCACATATTACTTGAGTAAT